GGCTTGTGGGATGGGCCCAGGGATGGCCACAATGCTCGGTGTGGGCCTGAGTGATGTAACCAGGCCTGGTGACGGCCATGGAGTCCCAGTGTGAGCCCGGGGGACATACCCCATCCCGGAGACAGCCACGACATGATGATGCAGGCGGGAGGCACATACCTTGGTCTAGGGATGGCTGCCGTGCCCCTGTGCGGGCTCTGCGCAGGGATGGGACGCGGTGTTGGGCCTCAACGATGGTGCGGGGGCAGCCCCACTGCCTCGCATGGAGCTTGGGGCTTCGTCCTAAGGGGCACAAGGAGACGGGAGTGAGCGGAGGCAGCAGCAGCAGCAGGGTCCTCTCCCAAACAGCCGCTCTGGACCCCGGAGGTGAGTGTGATAGCGAGGTTGTCCCCATCCTTCCTGCAGGAGCTCTCGTTTCCCCCATCACACCCAGAGCAAAACCGTGCCGTTGTCGCCTTGCTTCAATACAGAAAGGTTTTTTTTTTTTTTTTAAACCCTGAAAGTTTAAAAATACAGTGTTAGACCCTTTCCTGAGCCAAGGCAGCAGAATGGGAACAACAGGATTAAGTTTTAAGCCCTCCATGACACGAGTTTCATGGCGTTGTGGTTGAACAGCTGAGTAAAACCGGAGAAATTTGTTTTGACAACAACACCTTTTAAAAATGACACTTTACACACAAAGGTGATCCAGGGATCTAAAACAACTGCTCTGGGGGACTGCTAAGCCCGCAAGCTTGGCATCCTGGTGTCCGCTGGTGGGGAGGGAGAGTCCTCCCTTTTGCCCGGGTGTAAACCGCTCCTGAGTCAGTTTTCATTGTGGGAACATGCCACGTAACGCTGACATTTCCACCTCTCCCCATTAATCCCTTTTTTAAACCCGATTCTGGTTAACCAGATGCTTCTCCCACTAACATGCCCATCAAAGGCAGCAAGCAACAAGCAATAAATAACTTAAGATAACTTATCTGCCGTCAAATCAGGGATCTCCACCCTGCGAGTGGGTGAAGATGAAGGCGTACCCGCACACTAAAAAGGTCACAGAATAGTTGCGCGTCAGCTCGCCCCATCCAGGGGATGCTCAACAATAATCGCACCAAAGACACGTGCTTTGCCGATCAAAGCACCACGGACATATTTACATTTCAATAAGGCCTGAACAAAGAGATGTGCGGGCCCATTCCCCTCTCTGCTCTGCAGGAAGGCTGAAAAGTTCTGTATTTCCAACGCGGTAAGAACTTCCACGGGTGGTTTTTGAGCCTTCAGGTTTATGACTCCATTAGAGAGAGGGTTTAGCTTCGCGCGCCCACTCTCCTGAGATCTTCCGTGGAGAGGGCAGGCTTAAACATGAGTGATCCCAGCTCTCTCGTCTCCATTTAGGCCCCTGGATGGTGCCTTTCACTCAGGTTTAGCCAAACTCTCCTGCAAAAACCCAGCAAAAGTTTGAGTGTCAGCACGGTGCCCATCAGTTTGCATCGTGGCATTCCAAGATGGTTTCTTGCGCAGATGGCGAGCGGGTAAGCCATTCACACGCCCGAACGGGGAGGCAGGTGAGCTGTTGCTCCCCGTCCTTTCCTTACTGGGCTTGCATGGCTTTTTATTCCGCTTGGTAGCCAGAAATAAAAGGTTAGAGGGAAGAAAAGCCCCGGGACAGGCATCTCCCCAGCCTCAGAAGCCAGCCGGCAGTGATGTCCCTTCCAGCGAGCAGCTTTGGCAGCTCTCAAGAAATTCAAGAAGGGGTTTTCTTCTTGAATACAGACCCCTGAGCCATTTTCTTACAATCCTCCTGCCCGAATTCCCTTCCCTAGAAGTGTGGTTAATTACTGAGGGTGGAGCCCTGCCTATGCGCCTGATACCGCACATTTGTGTGTGTGTTTGCTTTCGGCCCCGGGGTTCTGCAGGGAAGATAGCAGCTTTTGTTTCGTATCTCCTCCGGTTTTCTGCCTCCCTTGTGCCTTTGTATCATGTCTCAGTTATGGTGATTAAATAAACTGTATTGGAAAAGCATTACGAGTCGGGTTTCCATGGTGTTAACAGCCTTCTCTGCTGATGATTTAATTTCACCGAGCCCTTGCCAACGCACTCCTGGAGTCTCCCATGCCTCAGGGGCAGGACAGGAAAACTACCGACCCATGAAACGGGACCTTCACCTCCGCTTGCCCTTCGGCGTGGCCGGATTTGGGTTGTGGACATGGATTTTGGGAGGGTGGGAAACGGCAAGGGAAAGACGCAAGAGAAGCCAATTCCTAAGGTCGCAGGGTTGGTAGAGAAAAAAGAGAAAGCATTCCTTAAGTTTGTAGGGTGGGGGAGCTGGCGAAACCAAGCACCCACTCGAGACGGCTCGAACAAGGATGCAACGGCCTCCGCCGTGCCAGCTCCACACCTCCTGGACGCAAACCCAGGCGTCTCTCCAGCCACCTGACCCCAGGACGGTGTTAAAACCACAGCCCAGACACCGACTGGCCTCATCCAGAAGCCGCGTCAGCCCGAGGCAGAGACAGCTTCGTGCCCAGCTGATGGGCAGAAGCGAGATGAGAGAGGGAGCGGCGCGGGTGGCACACCGCTGCGGGGCAACTCCTGTTTCTTCTAAAGGGGAAGGATGGGAACCTTCTCCTTTACGGAGTCGAGAGCGGCTCTGGGATGAATAGCGCCATCAGCACAGATAGAGGAGGGGGTGGACCTCGCCATCTATATAAAGCAAACCCGCTACGCCAGCAGTCTCGGCGCCACGAGGTCCAGGCGGGGTAAGGAGAGGGGGGATTTTGTCGCTGCCTTATTTCGTCGGGCGGCGGTGGGAGATGGTGGGAGATGCTCCACCAGCCCTGGGCAGGACAAGCCCTGCGGCCCTGTACACATCCCTGCCAAGCGCCGCATCCCAAAACCGGAGTCAAAAGGCCCCGTGGGGCCTCAGCTGTGTCCCCTCGAGCACGGTGGTACCTTCACAGTGCTGTATATCCACGGTGACACTAGCATCACCGTGCGGTGCTGCCAGCGTGCATCCGACCGGCTCCGTGCCCTTGGCGCAGGGCAGCACCCGTCCTTCCCCCGGGCTGCGGCTCACCGCAGTTTCCTCCTCCAGGGCCAGCCTTGAGGATGAAGAATCTCATCTTTGCCGTCCTCTTGGCTTGCGGTAAGTGCCCCGGTTTCACCGGGCCAGGCCGGGATCTCGTCTGCGTGGCAAAAAAAGACCTACAAACCCAGAGTCTTTGTGCATGATTCAGGTTTTTGTTTTAAATTTTGCAAATTTTGTAGTTTCTCTCTAATGCTTTCGCGTAGCACTGCTGTAGTCCCAGAGGTCTTCGTGACCGTGAGGCTTTGGCATGCTCCATATTTATTTTATGAGGCCCTGGAGCCTGTTGTCACCCACTTTCCTGCCTGTGCCAAGCCCAGGACTGATCCTGGCAATGCGGCATTGCCGGCTGCAGGACGCAAGCGTGGCACAGCCTGTACAGAGAGCAGTGATACCTTCTGCCAGACCAACTCAGGTAGCTGCAGGAAACCAGACATAATCCTGAGGAGGTTTTTGGGGGCTTCTCGAGGTTCACATGCCTGAAAGCATGTATTTCCCGCAACGCCAGACTTATTTAATTCCCCTGCCCGGTGCGAGGCGTGGGGAGTGCTGCCTGCCTCCTCGCTGCGCGCTGGTGCGAGCCCGTCCCTCTGCCCCTCCGCAGGGCTGCTGCCGGCGGCTTGCGGCAGCGTTTTGGAGCTGGAGCAGATGATCAAGTCGACCACAGGGAAAAGCGCCCTGCTCTCCTACAGCTGGTACGGGTGCTTCTGCGGCATCGGGGGCAGAGGGACCCCGGTGGACTCCACCGACTGGTGAGTACCTGGAAAAGCATCGCCACTCGCCACCCGGGTGAGGGTTTGCTCCCTAAAAAGCTCCTTGCCGGCAGCCTGTTGGCACCGGTGTGCTCCGAGAAGGGGTTCTGCACCGTTCCGCAGCCACGTCTTGCTGCTGCCTTCTCACCCCCTTCCTCGCGGTTACCTTAAACGTGAGGCTGGGCTTTCCTTTACCTTCCAAATGCGGTGAGGGAGGGCTTGGGGGCAGCGGTGCGAGACGGTGTCTCCGCAGGTGCTGCCATGCCCACGACTGCTGCTACAAGAAGCTGAGAGAGGGCAAGTGCAGACCCCTGATAACCCCCTACCACTTCGACGTCGCCAATGGAGACATCGCCTGCGGTGAGTACCGCTGAGCGGGACGGGGGTCCCACGGAGGTGGGGAACCAGCCCCGCTCCCAGGACCCCACAGGAGGGCATCCTCCCCCGGGGAGGAAACCAGCCTGATGCCCGGTCGGGTGCGTACAATAAATGAAAGGGCACCACAAGGGACGCAGGCAGGTTGGAGAGGACGAGCACCACGGCACGTTTCTTCACGCGCTTCCCCCGGGCAGCTCCAGGCGTTGGGGGTGCTCCAAGGGGACCCCGTGGCCGATGCCAGCTGGAAAAGCCACTGCAGAGCACCGTGTTTTTTCCCCGCAGGTAATGAGCAGAGTTGGTGCAAGAGAGAGACCTGCCTATGCGACAAGGCGGTGGCTTCGTGCTTCGCGAGCACTTTGCATTCCTACAATAAATCCTACCGCTTCTATTTCAAGATGAAATGCCGAGGAAGTAAGCTCCAGTGCTGAGGAGAAGAAAGCTGCACCCAAGTTTGCAGATTTTGACTGGCTTTCCCCATTGCAATGGCAAGAGAAGCCTGACGTGGAGGCTGAACAGAGCCGGAGCCAGCACGGCTCCCCGCAAAGTGATGCTCGGGGCGAGGAGGGACACGCACACATTACGGATGGAAATCCCCCAGTTCCCAGAAAGACACATCAGCTTCCATTTTTTTGTCCCTGCCCCCTCTCTTTTCTCTCTTGATTTCATTTCCCAGCAAAGATAATGAAATAAAAAATATTCAAAATGGTTCTCTGTGGTGTTTTTCTGTAAGAGCCACTGAGATTGAGGCACTGCAACGGTGGCCTCTGGGCTGCTGAGTCTGGGGAGTGGTTTTGCATCTCACAGCTTAGCTACACCATCTGCCTGACGCCCCGATATTCCCACCGTCCCGACAGTGGCTGTAATTCGCAGGTCTATCCCGCTGCGGAGCAACATTGTTGGATCCCCAGCTACGGATGAGCACTTTGCATCGAGAAACGGGGACAAATAAATGCCACCAAGTAAAACTCCCTGGGGTTTTGTTAACAAAATAATTCCCCAGCGGCGAGCCCTGATGGCAGTTGGGTTTTTTGGCTTCTCCCAACACCCTTTCCCACTAGCTGAACGCACGCCCGGAGCTAAAACGAAAGGGTGCATTAAGGGGCAGGCAAGATAGAGCAGAAAGATGTTTTTATATGAATAATGGAAGTGAGAAAATGTGGGAGATGATTTGAGACCCTCCTCTGGCACGTATGTAAAAATGGTGACCAAAATTAAGGCTAAGGAATAGTTATCTGCAGAGGAGGGAGGATTTCAAAGCCTCGTCCATCCCAAGGCAGATGCTAATTTAGGAGGACAGTTAAGTTGGGGACTAAATGGTTTCTCCATAAGGGAGGAGTTCTGCATAGGGGTTGCAATGAGGAGGTGGAAAATCATACAGAGAGAAATAAAGAGAAGCTGCATTCACTCGTCCCAAAACATCCATTTTGCTTCACTCTCCTCCCATGGCAGGTGAGCGTTTAATCATCCAGTATCTGCGTAACCCCGTGTTCCTGGGAACTGCGCATTTGCCTATATGTTACCCATATACGTTTCCCAAAGAACCGATAACTCGCCCCAAATCACCTTTGCAGCGTGGCAGAGGGACAGCTCCCAAAGCCTACGACCCCTCGAAAACCCCAAACCCGCTTCGTGCGCGGCTGCCGGGACGCAAAAGCTGAATCAGGGGCTGTTCGTTCCCCTCTGATACGGCACCGTGGTGCTGGCGAGGGCAGAGAAAAAGGCCCTCGGGCATCTCTGACCGGGGGCAGAGAGCTTCCTCCTGGGGCTGGAAATGATACTGCTTTGCCAGCTCATCCCGCCCAGCGCCAGCCCCCGTGCACAGGGTACGGAGCCGGGGCGTTGGGGGGGATTTCTTGCATTCCGGTAAAGGGGAAGGACAACACCGTCTCCTTTGCCCAGTCAGCAAGATCTGGGGGAATGAGTGTCCGACAGCGGAGAGCAAACCCTATATAAAGCAAGCCCCGCCGGCTGCAGGGCCCTGCGAGCATGCGGCGGCTTTCCCGAGGTAAGTGGGGATGGAGGAACGCTTTTCCTCGCTTTCCAACTTTAACCAGGAGTCACGAGCGAGGCCCGTGCCGGGAGAGCGGGAGCAAAGGAGAGGCTGCCTGAGATGCCAGCCCAGAGGCAGAGCGGCGGGCTGCAGCCCTCGAGGGCCGACCGTTCCTCCAACTTGTCTTCCTTTCCCTTCATTTTGCTTTTTCCCCCCCCCTCCGCCGTCCGATCCCATCCCCGACGCAGCGGCGCTTTGTGCCGAAGCGATGGCGACGGGCGCGTCCTCGCCCCCCTCATCTCCCCTAATCCCCGGAGGCGGGGAACATGTCTGCCCCAGACGAGGCGGGAAGTTAAAAAGAAAGTGGTTGATATAACGGGGAAATGGTTCGGTTTCCTCTCCCAGGGCTGTCCGAAAGATGAACTCTCTCCTGGCCTGCGCTGTGCTGTTTGCGTGGGGTAAGTGCCCTCGCTGGGGTAAGTGCCCTCGCTCGCACCAGCCCCACGGCTCTCCGTGTGGTTATACCCGTGGAAATTGGGACCGGGCTGGTGATTTCTTAACCTTTCCCCATCACCACCCCTCCCAAAGACCCACCAACTCTCCTGCACCGAGTGGGGAATAAGTTTCCTCTCTGTTGCATCTACTCGTTTTGAAGACATCGCCCCCCAGTTTGGGGGCTGGAGGGATGGGGATGCTGCCGGGGAGCCGGGCGTGAGCCCCACAGATCTCCCCCCCCAGGCTTGTCCGCGGCTCACGGGAGCCTCTGGGAGCTGCACAAGGTGATCACGAAGGCGACGGGGAAAAGCGCTTTGCTGTACTACTCCTCCTACGGCTGCTACTGCGGCCTGGGGGGCCAAGGGCAGCCCAAGGACGCCACGGACAGGTAAGCGCCCGCTTCAAAATCCCCCTGCTCCAACGCATCCTCGCACCGTTTCAAACTGGGGGGGGGGAACCCCCCAAAACAACCCCCAAAGCCACGAGCTCCCCTACAGATGCTGCCAGCTGCACGATATCTGCTACGCCAACCTCCTGAGCTACCGCTGCGATGCCAAGACGCAGGGCTACCGGTACGGCTGGCGACGGGGCGCAGCC